ATCGCGAGACCACAAGACAAGACTTCAAATAGTGTTTTCCTTTTTTTCGTAATTGCGTTTATTTATCCAACTACCATGGTAACATAAGTCAGAGGGACAGTTAACGTACCGGCGGGCACATTTTGAGAGTCAAAAGCAGTTTTGTGGTTCTCTCGCTCTTGAAGAGAACTCAGCAGTCATTTAATTCGGTTTCAATGACAGGCGACGATGTGTCATTTCGTGTACTACTTATATTCTGCGTGCATTGAACTGGCTTATATATTGGGTATATATATATATTATAGATTTGCATTTTCTATCTTCTGATATATTATAGAGTGCGAAAACAAAGTAATTTGATGGTATTTAGGTTTGAGCTTGTCTGACAAAACGCAGAGAGCTGGAGGGAAAAAAAAACAAACATTTCAAATCAAAGTTTACAATACATACACATTCACATGTTATTGTTATATTTTCATAAATACTATAGCATTGTGTTATGTTATTATTTTTCTAGTTACATGAACATATATATTAATTTAAATAACATCTCGTAAATAAGATCTCTGGTAGTAGGATTATGGTAACATTCTCGTTAAGTTAGTGATTGGTCAGTTACTTCGGCCTGGGGGAGGGGGGTCGGTGTTTCAGTAAGGGGTTACCCTGTTTTTGATATCATGAATAGGGGGGGTCACCATGTTTTCTACAATTCACACACGCGCTTATGCATATATTTTTTAAAATTGTATTTCAGAACAAAAGATAAAAAAGTTAATCGTACAAATGTGTTCTTAATAATAACTATTACCCATATTGCCTATAAATTTGTTGATGCAAAAAATGTTATAGGCTAAATATTTTGGGGTTGAAGTTGCCAAATAACTAACAGATTATGCAATGCGGCAGAGTCCAATGCAATTATACAGTTAAGTTTTAAACACATCCCAAGTCCACGTGATATCAGATTATTTTATTTAAAGTCTGAAGTCACCATTGTATAAGATATTTACTGGATTTAGCCATTTATAGCTAGAGATGGAAAAACACAGCAATTAGTACAAAGAGTAGTGACAGTTTTTGTTCAGCAAATCAAAAAAGTTAAATTTGTTAAAATGCTGATACATGTATATAAATAAATAAATAAATAAATAAATAAATAAATAAATGATGAAAAAATAAATAAATAAATAGTTTTTTTTTGTTTTTTTAACTTTCAAATATACATATTTTGCTCTGTAAAATACCAAAATCCAACACAAATTTAAGCAAAAATCAAAGTTTCCTTTGTTTCCATAAGCACAGACTGTGCTTCGGGTGTAAAGCATTCCTGGTCTATAAGAGATGAAAGATATATTAAATCCAAATTAGTTTTCAAACAGCCTAGATTCAAATCCTCTTTTCCTATTTTATAAGAGCGTTTATCAAGTGAGTACTCCACAGCTTTGTTTTTATTTACTATCTTTAGCAGCATAGATTTCCCTCCTTCCTGCAGCCTTTTCTGTAGTCGTTTTTTCGATTTATGCTTCCCCTCCCCTAAGGTCTATTAAATGCAAACACTTAAAATTACGGCAAACCATGATATTTTTAATGCACATATAATACATTTTGTAATCATGTCAGAGCCAAAACTGTTTATGTTTCTTTGTTTTTCGGGGGGATGTCAGCATGTTTTAAAATATAATGTTGGGGGGGGTCGCCCATTTTTTTTTTGATAGGGAGTGGGTCAACTGAGATTTACAGCTGGCAAAATGGAATCTGCCGACCCCCTGGGCCGGAGTAACTGACCAATCCCTTACTTGCTGGGCTGAAGCCCTGAAGATGATGAATGCGCTCGTTCGAATGGGACAGAGAACGGACAACTTTTCAGCAACTCGATGTTCGTAAAGATGGCTGTCTTCCATCCATCCAGGGAATATTTAAAAAAGTTCGTACTAAAGTTTGACGAGGCCATGATAGGGCAAATGTGAGATGGAGTACGTTGGCCGCCAACGGTGTGTATTGTGGGAATGGTATCATGATTAGAATTTAAATTGCTCCTGGCGAATGGAAGTACCATAATTCAGACTCCAAGTACGTTAATTTACCCATACAATAGCAATAATGCACATGATACACAGACATGAAAGTGTGTGATACAAAACAAAATATACTCAACTACTCAGCATCATATTGACAAACTTGAATATTTTATATAAAAAAGTAAAACGTGTGATATAGCGTGACATTATGTACTTTATCAATGTAAAATAATACAGAATATAGATCGATTTGTGACTGGATTTCTTTGTGTGTTGCTCACTAACGTAATATCATCTGTGGGCACATTCATTGTTTTATTTGCACTGCCGAGGTACTGTACACTATTTTTATTAGCAGCGCCCTCTAGTGACGATGCTCAAATATAGTGTCATGAAAATGGAAGTTACCGATCTCTGCGCTAGACAGGCTTTTGATATTTATTACATATCTTAGAAAGTCTTTTCTAAGGTCTGTGGTTATTATCAATACAACCGAACAGCCGAACTCATTATTCCTGATTTTAAGAAAGTTTTGTTTCTAAACCCCCGTTGGTGGGGCATGTACGGGTGCCTCAAAAGCGTATCTGAGGGGTACGCACAAGCAACAACACTGATGTCTGCGGGCTGATGTACGTTATGAGAGCACGCAGATTCCACGCAAGACAAGTCTGCGTGCAATACCGAATTTTTTGTTTTATTACGATAAGAGATTAAATCCATTAAACCTACAAGTAAAACTAGTTTTAGTGGGGAATATTTGGAGATGTCAATATAACGAATAAGCGAGGTTCAGATTCAAAGATGCCAAAATTGGGCCAATATATTATCTTTCGTTCTTGTTTAATTATACACGGTATGCTAACTATAGTTTGAACGTATACTATTGCGGTATTAGGAAATGGTAGACTGGGAAATGACTGTATAGGTATTTGTTCAATGCTGAGGATAGAAAACTAAATAAGCTCGATAGGGGTCGGTATTTTACAAACCCAGACCATTTCTTAGTGCGATTCAGGTTAAAGGGCGGCAGTCGTCGCGCGGCGTCCTGTTCGATATGGGACTCATAGCGACGTATACAACGCGTGTAAAATACATTGTTTATTTACATGAAATTCGAACACGCGCTACGCGACGACCACCGCGCTTTAATAATTGTTGGTGACAGACCGCAATCTCGAGCACAATCTGTAGTTCGCAGTCCACCACCTTGGACCTTGGACTGTTTACTCATCGACACTTTCTTTTGGCGGCGGCTACGCCATGTTCCACTTTCAGCCAATTATTTAAAAGGTCTAAAATGACACAATTTTGCAATAATATGAAAATGAATAGAAAGTTTCCAATTACTCTTTATAATATAGATGTACTCATAGTGAACTTCATTGGTCCGATCCAACGACTGAACCGTGAACAGTAGATGTTAATTCAATATTTACTTTAGAGGTGGTGCCGAATAAATAAAGATAAAATAAACAGTCATAGCAGCGAAGTCTGACAATGACAAGTGAGCTGCAGGCATAGCTGATTTTTACCGCAAGTGTAAAAAAGTTGCGAAAAGTAACAGGCTGAGGGCATCCGAACTGTACGAACGCGAAACACGCACCGGGTGTTGAGGGACTGTGATACACCTCAGACCACTAAATAAGGATACACCCAACCCCCGCGCGTCACGGTGCCGTCACTGCCGCGGTTATGTGGACCAGACAAAGGACACGGGGCAGTACTATTATGCTCGTCTGCAAGTACATGTTCGAGTATCCAACTTTCTGAGAAAAAAAACGTGACAAGCATCAGCAGGAATTTCTAGTACTGTCTGAATAATCGTGTATTTTTTGTTGTCATCAGACTCATCTCTGTACAGATTTTTTTTTGAACAACGTTTTCAGCACGCATATTTCATCTTTCAAAGGTGTACATAGATTTGGGATTTGGCAAATATATATTAGTACCAGCGCTATAGTCTCCCACAATGCAATGAATATACGTTCATTAGTGTAACAATTTAATTCGGATCTAAATCCACTATTATTTCTTGTTGGGTGTCAGTTATCTGGTCAATATTTGCCTTTATTATTCACCTAATATCAGACCCCCTACGACTCAAATAATTAGTCACATGATAAAAAATCATGTCCGGCATATACACAGTGGTCGTTTGAATAATGTGTATGTAAACAGCCGATCTGAGTCACATACCTGAATATTGTACACCGTTATGACGACCACCGCCTACTTCTACTTAAAATCTGCCAATCAAAAAACTCCAGCCAGGTTTTAACTGCACACAATGCTCGGTTATGGAATCTGAACTGTGAAATCATGTAAAGTTCTAGGGTGTGTATATGATAAAGACCTAGGGCCTGCATCCCAATCATTGGTTATACCGGGGTATAAACACCCATAAGCTTTATATGGGTCATGTGACTGTTTTGATTTGCCGAAGTGCTCCAAGTTTAGCTTCGCAAAGAAAGAACCATAGGTAGGTTTGAACTTGAACTTAAAAAGCATATTTGAATACATACTCAGCTCCTTGAGCTATCTGGAATTCTGGAATCAAGGCCATTGTCCTTTGGGATACTTCATGTTCAAAGTTAATATTTAATATAAACTTGTGTAAACTGTAAAATACTTTATTTTCGCTTGGAATTAATTTTTTGCTATTTTCGCTGAAGGAGTGATTTAGTGAAAATAAAATCCAGTGAATATACCTTTTTTCCTATATTTTAAATTCAACTCACACAAAAAAATCAGTGAAAATAAATTCCATACAAAACGCCCAAAAAGTATTTTCAGCGAAAATTAATTGCAGCTAAAATAAAGTATAGGTACATCTGGCACACTTTTGATATGCAAATTTTATGAGAACAATAGCAGAATATTTCAATGATCTGCATGTGTAGTATTTGTTTCATCTTGGTTTGCACTTGCATCCCAGAAGAACCCTCAAATTTGATCGGGGCTTTGATCTGTACTTCACACATAAAATAAGTATAGAGTCATTTCAAAGATGAAAATACTTTTTATTCTTACAACACTGTCCCTCATATCTGTACAAATCACTGAGCAGATACGCTATATTATTGGAAAGGTTTTACAGAAAGAAAAAAATAACGGTGGTAATCTAAAAACATGCATGCCCCAAGTCTACTGCAGAAAAAAAAATATTCACAAGATATAGAGGTCATTTTAATATTACTAGATAATTTGGTAAACAACTGTCTTTCAGCAGGATAATTGAATGCTATCAATGACAGTGCTTCAGTCAAATTGCATTATTTGCCAAATGTGGTATCAAATGCAGATATGGGTAACACACATTTGAACGTACACAAGCCTATACCATTGCATTGTTTATTTTTGTTTTGTTTAAAAATCAATTCATTTTTACCTATTTACATGGTGTTAACATGCTATCAGTAGAAACCATGACCTTACATAATTTAACTTGTTTCCTTATTTGGTATCATGTTTTCCTTATTAAAGGTAAGTCTTGTATAGCCTCTAGTTTGGTTTTATTTTGACCTTCTTTGAAGGTGACACAATATCTCACGCAGGTTTTCATAGAAAGTGATATACTCAATCCCAGAAAATACACTTTTTATGCTGGCGTAGCCCAAATATCTGTCAAGCAGTATAGTGAGGGCACACTGCAGTATAGTGAGGGAACACTGCAGTATAGTGAGGACACACTGCTGTATAGTGCGGACACACTGCTGTATAGTGCGGACACACTGCAGTATAGTGCAGACACACTGCAGTATAGTGCGGACACACTGCAGTATAGTGCGGACACACTGCAGTATAGTTCGGACACACTGCAGTATAGTGCGGACACACTGCAGTATAGTGAATACACACTTCAGTATAGTGAATACACACTGCAGTATAGTGAGGAAACACTACAGTATAGTGCTGATACCGTGATTAATGCTGTATTTATAATATTGTTTGAATGAGTGCAAAGCACGAAATATAATTTTCATCTAAATATTTAAAATCTAATACCCATTAAAATTGCTACAACACCAGCAGCAGCAGAGACGCGATGTGAATTACTAGATTAAAATTAGAAAGACACGACTGTCTGGCAACAATTGCCAAGACGTCATTTTCTGAAATTGGAGCTGGTGTATTTTTTGCACCCTATGCTGGATGAGTTTGTTGAAATTTCCTATTTGGACAGTCAGTAAGTTTGATCAACATGTTTAATTTGATGAATTCGGTAACTGATTATAAAATGGCGGGTGCATCGGGTGACTCAACAACTCGGCAAACGGACTACGGTAACCAGATTCAAACCACAATGGCAAACAGAATTTTGATTAACGATGTAAGTAACATGGCGTCCAATATATTGGTTCATCTATATGATGTATACATTAATGTTAAAGAGTTTAAGCCCAACTGGCTTATTATTTCCAGTAACAACTGCATTTTAAAATACAGGGAAACCTGTCTAATTGGAAACAGAAATGAACTGATAACATTTATTTCAGGCGTTTTATAAGAAGGGAGGACATCACTAATTAACGTCTGATATTCACTGATTTATACATTTATGGAAACATACACAATTCAAAATACAATGAAGGTAATCAAAGCAGAAACTGTACACTGAAAAATAATGATATTGTGTCCTACTAATAATACATAGTATATTAATGGCTCATAAAGGCCACACATCCTGATACTTTCTACGAATATTATTCTCTTACAAAAGCGAAATCTTCCAGGGTACTGTAAAATGACTTATTTTCACTGGGTTTAAATTTCGCTGATTTAGCATTTCAGGCATATTCAGTGGGTTTCAAATTCACGGTTTTATCATTTAGATAATGTAACGTCAATGTCAATCTTAAACTATTTTAGAACTTCAATGTATTCATTTTTAGGGGAAATTATTGAACAATTCGTATTGGTATTAAAGTTGTACCAGGATGTGGAACCTTTGGGACTCTTGCTCTGCTCCTTGCCCATGGCTTAGCTTGACTCTGATCGAGAAATATCGTGTGGTGAATCTAAAGAAATACAATGGAAGCCAAATGGGAAAATTTAACAGTTTCAAATGAATGCTACAAATTTCAATAAAAATCAATTTGGTCAAATGAAAAAATAATTAATATCCCAAAATATTCTAAAAACAGCATGAATTAGGTTCTACAAAAAAAAAAATGCAAGGAAATCTCAAAAAGTTGATGTTCTATTCGCAAAAACACTCTCTGGTCAGTTTAACAAAATACTTGTTTCTAAAAAAATTTGCTTTCTATGGAAATAGCCTGTATGGTTTAGTTTTTGCCTCCCCTAGATATCTTCTCGAGTATTTCATCATAGTTTAGTTCATCTAAACCAGTCGCTTGTACTTCATTCCCGATCCCAACTAGTTTCTTCTTGATGGCATCTTTACTTGTGGCGTAAAGCATTTTCAACTTTATCTTGGCAGAATCTGGACACCTAATAAGAGAGAAACCAGGGACAATTTATTGATATAACACTGTGACAACTACCGTATTACTCTATTAGAAGCACTTCTCCAATAGAAGTACATATGATGTGACAATTGCATTTATTGTATACTGTAAAATGAATAACTTTTATTGGGTTTAAATTTCGATGATTTACCATTTCAGGCATATTCATATTAAATTCATGGTTTTATCATTTAGATAATGTGTTCTATGCTAAATTTTACATATTCACTGGGTTTTAATTTAGCGCCTTTTCCAGTCAGCAAAATAAGCAAAATTAAAACCCAGTGAATAATTAATCATTCTACACTATACAATAATTAATAAACTCTTTTACAGTACTGGATTTATTAAAATATTGTTAAGTTTGACAAGAGACACACCTCATGCATTACAGATCGAGCAAATACAGTATTCAAAGACTAGCCGGCTACCTACTTTGTCTACTTTAAAAAATTTAATATTTTTTTTTTATTAATAGGTGATTTTTATTCCCTGCGAGACTTCACAATATTGTATGAAAGGGGGAAACCACAAAAACTTGAATTTTAATTTAAATTTTAATTAAATTTTTTTTTTTATAACTCAAATGCTGATTTTTTAAGAGGGAAATAATTCACTGAAATAGCATCATCAAATGTGTAAGGACTTTATTAATCGTTGAAATACCCCAAATAATATCCTGGAATACAGAATACATTTTTGATTAAATCAGACAAATTATGAATTAAAATTAAAGCCACAAGGCATCAGAGTGGTCCAAGCAGATCAAAGTGTTTGGTGGTTCTGATGTAGAAGATTTTCAAGCATTTTTCAGAGAAAAAAAACATTCCGAAAAATGTCATATGACCGCTAAGGTTTTTATTGCTGATATCTTTCAAGCACGAGTGGATTAGACCCTCAGGGAGTGGTCAAATGGCCACTTTAGTTTAACCAATTAACAAATCAAAATTCTAAAAGTCAGGTGTACCAGTTCACATTAGCAACCATCAGTATGAACAATTTCAGACCATTCTGTTCAGTGGTCTAAAGCGAAAAATGACGGTTGAAGAAAAAGAGGAGAAAGAAGAAGAAAATCAGAATGATAACAAAAGAGCTCCAAGTGCTGAAGGACACCTAACTAATTGTAGACCAGAATAAGTTGTGTCATGTGACGTCATCAACCAATCTCTCGTTATCTCTACTTACCAATTTACAAATATCAATTTATTTCGTTTACCGCCATCAGGAAGTTCATAGTCAAAGTCGTACACTGCGTACCGACAACCATCCGGCGGGAGTGCAGCACAAAAGTCGTCCCAACTGCCTTGCTGTACAGTAGATTCTGTCTCAATTTGACTCAAATCATCACTAATATTGTAAGTGACGTATTTATACTTGTGTCCAATCTTGATCTCCTGAAACTTGGAGACGACATCATCGCTACATTTAACACCTGAGGTCTGTCAGACAGAAAAAGAAAGGTCAGTCGTTAATATTTGAAAGATGCATGAATGAGTCTCTCTGATCAGGAAAATAATGACAATCCTTGACCCAGATTTCATCTATAAGGAATGTGGAATATAAACAAGTCATCAAAATTTCAGACATTTTTTCATTGACTACTTAAAGAGATATTTAGAATATCTATGAGTTTCCTTGAGAATTTTAATATTTTTTATAATAAAACTTGATAAAAACATTAAGGTACGACTATGAGGTGATTATGAGAATACCAGAAAGTACACACTAAGGCGGCATGGCAAACATAGAGACCTTTGTCTAGCAGAGGTTGGGTAACACCCTTTAAAGTGCCTGTGCAATGCCAAACCTCACGCTTCCCATTTTAGACCTGTGTCCCACTGAAATGAACAGTTATTGATTTTTTTGCTTAAAATGATTACTCGTGTCCAAGTAAATTTGGGATATTTCTTGTGTTGTAGCCACGCCCACCTATTCTGAAACGGTCGACTGTTTCCGGATTTCCGACTCTCGCCAAAAGTGCACCACCAAATGACAAAATGTGAGAGGAAGTCATACCCCTGAGCAGTAATAACACTGGTCATTCAGTATACATGTACTTTTAAACGATATACATTTTTCGGTCGGCGTTTTTCTTTTTTTTTTTGTCAATTTTATTTTTTTTTTTTTGAGAGAGAGTTTTTAGATGTTGTGTTGTTGGCAGTTGCAACGTATAGTCATAGTGTATATATTCACACATTTCTAATCAATCCGAATGTGCAACATCGGTGGACGAAAGCCACTTAACCTCAGATTCTTTTTTTTTTTGGAAAAACTGTCCTCGTCCATAAAAAAAACTAGGTTTAAAGAGAAACGCCGACAACGTATACCTGGCGCAACACTTTTGAAATATTAAATAGATTCCGGACCAGCCCACGATCACCGAGGCGGATTTCAGAAGAGAGAGAGACGTCCGGCAAGTGTTTCAAATGAGTTGACTTTTTTGCGATCCTGATTATCGTTTTATAGAGACCATTTAGTCTCTGTTAAGTAAAAGGTAGCAATAATTTTGACAGTGACACGAAAACGAAGCGTCGGACAAACAGGAAATTACACAGCCTTACACACTGCTAATTGTTTTCATTTTCGAAGGCTAAAAGTTTCTGAATTGTTTGATGATTGGTGTTGAATGTCGAATTCACACCTCTGTTCTTTTTTACCTCCATGCTTGCAGCTTGATCTGCGTAATAATTTATGAAATAAGAATCCGGGCTTGGTAAAGTTTTAATATGATGTTATAATTATGAAAATCACGCCATGGATCACGCTAACTCGAAGCCACACTGAATTTTTCTGTATGTGTGTCGATTTCGATTATTTTTGTTATCCAATTAAACGCCGCTTTTAACAGACTTGCCCTCGTCGTGACCCGACGCGTTCACCTATTTCAACAAAATGTCAATTTATTTCCACGCGGCTGTCAATTATTTAGTAACTGTAATTTTTCGTTTTTTTTTAATTATCTTATAGTGATCACTGTAGTCTAATTTTCGAAAGTTTTACTCAGACGATCGATGAAATAAAGCAGTGTAGTGACGTGCCTAGTAACTTGCTAAATAATGAGATAATTCCGACGTCAAATTCTATTTTGTCCAGCGACAGTGTACAAACGTGCGCCGATGTTGGTGACGATCACGGTGACCATCTACACCAGAACGGACATATTTCGCATCTAACTCAACCCCATGCAACAAAAATTGATACTATGTGTTCATTATGGTCCATTCGTCCTCGAAGAACAAGTACAGAAGTGACAATTTAGTCAAAGACGAGAATGA